CACCACTGAAATTCCTCTAGAATTTAGTGGTAGAAAGGTCATATAAAGGCTAAAACAAAAGCCTAAAGGGATGGCTCAAAACAAGGCCAAACAAGGCACAAGAGGGGGTAGACCACCCCCAATACAAAAGAGACCTTAAACAAACATTACAAGCATGCAAAATCAGAACTTTTTACAGTAGAAAGTTAGGCCTAAAACAACATGCAAGTAGGGCCAAAAGCTTAATCAAGAACAAAGGATTAAGAGGTTAGAAGCTCACCCTTGTAGAACCACTTTAGAGCAACAACTCCAACAGCTATTTTGGATCAAAACCAGTCCAAAAACTCCAAAACTAACCTCAAGGTACCTTAGCAACAAAAGGGTGGTGTTTGAGTGTGTGTTTGTGTGCAATAGTATGATGAAAATGCACTTTCAAGCACAAAAATGAGACAAAGAGAGAGATATAGAGATATATGTGTATCTATAGCTCAAGCCAACTTTTGTTTCAACCTGGAGAAGGGAGGAAGGGCCTCCCTCTTACAGAAAAACAAGCAAGAAGCTTGTTGAACACACTTGAGGCTCTAAGCCATCCCTCCATACACGTGTATCGAGGATGACTTATGTGCCTTCCAGCTGTCACAGCTGGCAAGAAAAGATCTCTAAAAAGGTGATGGAAAGCTGCCGACCACTTGAAGTGGTCGGCCAGCTACTTATAGTGGTCGGCCAACCACCACAAGTGGTCTGCCAGGAAATAAAGTGGTCGGCCATGGGGGAGGAGTAGTCTACACTGAAAAAGCAAGGTAATGGTGCGGTGGCCGACCACTTTTGATGGTCCAAAGACCAGGAAAACCAATTGGCCGACCAGAAAACTGGCTGGCAGGCAGGAAAAGTGGTCTCCAAGGGAAAGAACTAGTCTCCCACCCTTATGCCACCCTCCAAGCAAGGAAAACAAGGTTTGTGCCAAAAACAAACCAAAAAGGATGCATGACGAAAGTCCGCGAGTCAAGGCACGCAGTCGGGAGACTCGAAAACTAATCTACGGGCACCAAAAGCGGTCTACTAGGGAATAGTGGTCTACGACCGCAAAAAGTGGTCTCCCAGACCTCAGTGTCCCCCTAGACCAAGGCAACAAGGCATGGTTTGACAACGAAGCCAAGAGGAGAACGTTAAGCGGTCCCGAGACAAGGCGCGCGACTGGAGGCTCTGGAAACCAGAAACTAGTCTCCAAGAGGGAAAAGTGGTCTACGACCTCTCTCTCCCTCTAGGGACGGTCAAAAAGGCATGGTCCACAAACCAAGCCAAAACACAAAGAGTTCAGAGGCCCAGAGGCAAGGCACTCAGGCGAAAACTCGGGAAACTCGAAACGAGCACAAACATGCGCAATCACCGAGCGCTCAATCGATGACGTCTGAGTCTTAAGGTCGGTCAAAAATGGGGTGTCTACAGTTGCCCCTCTTTGACAGAACTTGGAAGTCAAGAAGTGACGGGAGTGAATGTCAAAGCCCAGAGACGACCCATTTTTGACAAGGCCGAAGACTTAGACAAACAGGCAAGACAACAAAGACATATGCTCGCAGGCAGGGGCAAAATGCAAATGACATGCACAATGCTAAACATAACTTATGATCATGCAAAGAGAGCGGCGATGAAGCAACTAGATGCAAATGTTATGCAAAGAAATGCTACAGCAAACTCGTACACAAGCAAAGAAGTAAACACGCCACGCGTGGGAATTACTGACCGAACTACATTTCATGCAGAAAGGATGTAAGAAAATTATGCAATCTCAGTGAACATGTGCGATAGATACACAAAGCGAGCGTGTGATAGATACACAAAGTGAGCAAGGTGCGTTAGATACACAAAGCGAACGTGTGTGATAGATACACAAAGCGAGCAAAGTGCGATAGATACACAAAGCGAACGTGTGATAGATACACAAAGTGAGCAAAGTGTGATAGATACACAAGGTGAACGTGTGATAGATACACAAAGTGAGCATAGTGTGATAGATACACAAAGCGAACGTGTGATAGATACACAAAGTGAGCATAGTGTGATAGATACACAAAGTGAACAAAGCGAGATAGATACACAAAGCGAACGTGTGATAGATACACAAAGTGAGCACAGTGTGATAGATACATATGGCGAACGTGTGATAGATACACAAAGCGAGCAAAGAGTGATAGACACGCAAAGTGAGCATGTGTGATAGATACACAAAGCGAACGTGTGTGATAGATACACAAAGCGAACGTGTGTGATAGATACACTAAGTGAGTATGTGTGATAGATACACAAAAGGTGAACGAAGTGTGATAGATACACTAAGTGAAGAGAGTGTGATAGATACACTAAACGAATAAAGTGTCACTACTACAAATATAGATAAAGATCACACTTTTTTTGTGTGATCTATGTTTTTTAATCACCTTTTAAGTTTTATTAAAGTGTGATCTTTGGGAGTGTGATTAAAAAGGGTCATTTTTAGTCACACTTTTTAAGTGTCATTAAAAAATGATTTCATCACATTTTTTAAGTGTGATTAATAACATTTAAATCACATCTTTTAAGTGTGATTAAAAACATTTCAATCACATCTTTTAGGTGTGATTAAAAACATTTAGATCACATCTTTTAAGTGTAATTAATAAAATTTAGATCACATTTTTTAAGTGTGATTAAAAACATTTAGATCACATCTTTTAAGTGTGATTAATAACTAATAAAACCTGTGATAAAAAAAAGAATTCGACATATTTGAGGAATAATCAATATTATTTTTGTACGCACATTTGAAAAATGTAATCCACACTATATACTATATTTTGAATCACAACCATATATTGAATGGAATAACGTCATATATTTCATAAACGAAAGTTAAATATTCAAAAGTATATACAAATGAATTAATAAAAAGTTTTTAATTGTGATTACATATATTAAAAAATGAAAAAAAAAAATTGAAAAAACTAAGTTCTTGAATTCTTTGGCCATATTCTGCATCTCTCTAGGAAATTTCTAACCTGAAAAATAAAAGCTCAAATTAATTCAAAAACCGTTAGAAGTATATGAATAAACTTACTATTTTTGTAAAGACTGTTCTTGTCTTACAAAAGACAAAATCGGACATTTTCTCATCACACTGACTCTTCATCCCCTGCATCAATAGAAAAGGAATAACGACTTTGATTATTACTAGCATAAAATGTTTGTATTACCATATATAAATATGACATATACATAGAATCAATAAATCCAAAATGAAAATCTTCAATGTATGGCCATATATTTTAAAGTCATAAAACCAAATATATATAGAATCATATTTTAAAGTTATAAAACCAAATATATATAGAATCAACAAATCCAAAATTATAAACCGAACATAACAAAAAGAGCCCCCCCCCCTCTTTTTTTCTCACCAAATCACTCTAAACAGAGTGTTTCTGGCAAACAAAAACTCAACTTAACTTGACTCCATTGATTCATAATCCAACTAATTTGAAATTAAAAATAAACAAATAAAAGAAAAAAGAACTGCATAATTGGTTCACTCTCCAATTATGAAATAACAAAAGAGAGCAAGTCACTGAATTTGAAGTTATCAATATTACCCTTACTCTTTATATGAAGACTGGTTTTCATGTAGCCTATGGAGCATGATTGAACAGTATATATAATCACATATTAGTAAATCATAGCCTTGAAAAGATTTTATTAAAAAATTACTATGGCAACACATCAACAGAAAGAGTAAACTAAACTAAATCCCAACAAAAATTAAAGCTCAGATCAAGGTAGAAAAAGAAAAGCAATTAATATACCAAGTCAAGATGGGTCAACTCCAAAAGAACAAACAAATGAACAATCCCCCACAATTCCAGTATTTGAGTGTTGAGCAATTAATATACCAAATATATTTTAAATCAGTATATTTTAAAGTAATACATAGAATGGAAACTGAACTACCTAAGCCTAACTAAAAAATCTCATTGAAAATAGCATATTTGTTTCATCAATATTCAATAGTATAAGTCACTGTTTGCATTTGATTCCTTGAAAGCTAAGTGGGACGAAGACTCTGAGGCTGTTTATAGAATTTTGGGAAGTGGGACAACACCTTTTTTCCAAGTAGTTTGTCTTTCTGCCTCATAGTGCATACTCCAAATAATAGTCATAGACTCACAGGTTGGGCGCAGCTAACACTACAAGAATTTACACAATTGCCGACCACTTTTGCCGACCAAAAAAATTTTGGTCGCAAAAAAATGACATTTGCCGACCAAAAAACATTTCGTAGCTAAAAGTTGATACTATTACCGACTAAAGTACTTTTGTTGCAAAAAGGTGATTTTTTGCGACCAATTTAAAATATTAGTTGCTAAAAATGATGTCAGGAGGTGAAAAATTGGGCGGGAACAGTAAAATCTTTTAGCGACTAACACAATTTAGTCGCAGATATCAAAACGACATCGTTTTGATATCGAAATGCACTTGTAGACAATGGCCGACCAAATTTTGGTCGTTATATGTTAAGATTCTGCCACCAAAAACAAATTTAGTCGCTAAAGCTGAAATGTTTTTTTAGTGGGATATATATCACCGCCCCTGTTCTTGTTCTCGGTTTACAACCATTTGTTCAAACCTCTCACACAGATTCTCCTTCACCACCAAGCCTCACCTCACCGCAGACCACCACCACCGGCGCAGATCGCCACGGCCACCGCCGCAGATCCCCACTGCCGTCGATGATCCTCCTTCGTCCTCCGTTGGTGCCTCTCTCTCTCTCTCCTAAACACCCACCGCCGTCGATGATCCTCCTCCTCCACTAGTGCCTCTGCCGGATCCGAGAAGATCGTCGAAATCTAAATCAGATTTGAATCCTAGGCCGAGATCTAACCGTGAGCGATCCACAGCGACGCAATGGCTTCCAAATCCTACGACAGGATTGCCGATATCTGCGATGACCTCATCTCTCTTCTTATCAAACCCTACACTTTCTCCTCCTCCACTAGTGCCTCTGCCGGAAACCAAACAGAAGCTTGATATATCTGTGCATTTTTCGCTCCAAAATTTGTTTGTGCCTGTCTCTCGCAGATGTGTGCAAGAAGTTCTTCCACCTGCTCTTGATTCTACTTCAGACCCACCTGCAATCTTCGATGGGACGACAAGGTATAAGGTTCAGAATTAACGCACTTTCTTTTGGGTTATTTGATTTTGATTTTTTTTTTTTTTAGCATTTCCCAGTTGCATCTATGTGTTTGTTTCAATATACCCATTTGAAATTTTTGCTATTTTTTTGGACTTGTTCATGTAAAATTGATTTTGGGAATTTTTGAATTTCTTGATTTTCAGGCTGTACATTTCCTACATATGCCCGTAAGCCCAACGTGCGTGGATTACCCGAAACTGTAAGGTTGTTTTCTAAACTGTTCTTGCTCTGGCTTCTGCTTAATTTGCTCTCTCTCTCTCTCTCTCTCTCTCACACACACACACACACACACACAGAGGTTAAGATTGTATATCATTTGAATAAAGTGTATTTGTTTTGGACACATTTTCATTTATTTGTTTTCTTTATTTTGGAAAACAGGGATTGCAGGAGAAGATAAAATTGGTTCCTATTGATCTACAAAACAGGCCAACTTGGTACAAGGAGAAAGTTTACCCGCCGAACAAGGTGAAATTATTCTAATGCAGTCTGTGCTTTATGGGTATTTCAATGAATGATGTATATGAAATTGTTCCAAATGGTTTTATATGATGCAAAATGAAATTCTCTGATTATATTGTAGAAGAGTCAAAGTGAATTACAATAGAATGGCTTCATTGCTTGAATATTACAGATTTACAAAAACTTGATGGCTTAATTTTAAGTGAAACTTGTGAGAATTTAGAAATCTTACAACTCGGTTATGAGCCAAACAATGGATAGTTCTGACAAGAAGATGAAATTGAGATGAGACATACCAGTATGCATTTGCATCTTCTTCAGAAAGCGGAAGCAGAATAAGCCAAGGAAGGAAGTTGAAAGTAAGTTTAAGATAGTTTTATCTAGACCTCTATGTAGACTTTAATATGATTTTGTTGCCGTTGAAAAAATTAACAAATCAAAAAAAAAAAGTAGAACAAATCCAAATGACGTCAATTATCTCAATATGTTCTTGATAAAAATAAATCTTGGAAAGAAAATTAAAAGATCCCTTCTTAATGTGCTTGTGGAGAATTTTGGGATGCTATTTCGGTGTACGATTACGATGGTTAATTTTATGATTTGAAGGAAGTCATCAACATTACCTAAAAGATCTATGTTTTCATTTGTTACTGTTATTGACATAATTGTTAACTTGTTTCATCAGTTTGTAAAGATACAGATGAAATTAGCAATGAGGAACCCTTGCAATATGATTTTGATACTATTAGTCTTGCAACAAATAACTTCTCTGATGCTAATAAGCTCGGACAAGGCGGATTTGGTGTTGTTTACCGGGTAATTGAACATTCAATTACAAATAAGTTATATCCTTCATGTTTAAAACTACATTCTCTATTTGATGAAAATAGTTTAATTTGTTTAACATCAATTTTGTGCATCTTCAGGGTAGGCTTCCAAACAGACAAGAAATAGCTGTGAAGAGGCTATCTAATGATTCTAGACAAGGAGAACTAGAATTTAAGAATGAGGTTATGCTAGTTGCCAAGCTTCAGCACAGGAATTTGGTTAGACTCCTAGGATTCTGCCTTGAAGGAACAGAAAGAATTCTTATTTACGAGTTTGTGACCAACTCAAGCCTCGATAACTTCATATTCGGTATGATTGTGGTGTTGTTTTCCTATACATTGCATTGTCATCAACTTCATCTAAACAACATCTCTAAATATATATATTGTCGCAGCTTTCCATCAAAGAGAGGACACTATAGCAAAAATATATCTTGATGCACATATCAGTTTCATCATATAATAAAGCCTAAAACTAGAATCCTTGAAGTGCATTTTTAGATGATTTAATAAATTTTGAGTTTTGATTCAACCTTCTACTTGGATAAACATGTAGATCCCATTAATCGTTCACAATTGGATTGGGATAAGCGTTACAAGATCATAAGAGGAATTGCTCGGGGACTTCTATATCTTCATGTAGATCCCCTTACCTATCTTTTTTTGAGTTTGCTCTTCATGATTTACAATTGTTGTGTAATTGTTCTATAGAATTTACATTAACTTGTAAGAATGATCAACTTCCCTGGCATTTATAGTACATATATTAGCTGATTTAAGGTAAGGGAAAACCCAGTGATCTTTGTCGTTTAACACTTTATGTGAATATTTTAATGGATGGTGTCACTTTTGGACAACCCTAACTAAGTTTCGAACTAATGTCAAGTAGTTGCTAGATGAACCTACCCGGACTTTGGTTTTGGCAAGACCTCTTGATATTTTAGCTCCTGAAACCTAGTACATTAGCTGGTTTATGGTTTCTTGATGAGATCTGAATAATCAGTAATCATAGAATTTTTGCCACATGTTAAAAAGTTAGTGCAGTGGACGTCTTTAGATAGTTAGATAGTTACTTCTTTTTCATTTCAGCCCAGTTGATTGCATCCATTGGACTTCTGCTGCACAACTATCTTTGCTTGAAGACGAAATGCGGAGGGTAGAAAAAGTAAATGTGAGGCACACGCTTAAAGTTTCATTGCTTCGCAGTTTATTTTACAATAATTTGTGTATCTGATATCACTATGTTGAATCTGTTTATAGTTAACAGAATTTGTGACTTTTTGGCTTGCTGTTGTCTATTTTCAAGTTTAAATATTATCTTTATTGCAGATCCAAGGGATTTAACATCATTTTCAAAACGGGTTCAGGCCCAAAAATCACCCCAAAAATCTGAATATCTGGGCATGACTTGCCTTTTAGACATGATGTTACTTGGGTTTCACTGGTTTCTTAACATAGAATTCATAATTTCTTTTATGAGTTACATCTTTGGAATGATATTAGAGACTAGTTTTTCTTGCTTGATATTCTACTGTAGAGATGAATTCATCAGGACACCTTGAAGAGACCAAATAATCTTTCAAAACTTATCTTCTAATATATGACATTGTCAGTTACTTTTAAAAAAAAAAGGAAGAAAATCTTCATCTCACATTAAAAGTATGCCTTAGTACTGTGCATGATAACTTTGTTCATTTGTCAAGTTCATTAAAAATAAAAACTGAAATAGTTAAAAATTAACGGTTTTCATTAATGACAATCAGGTTGCACTGATGCTTTCAGAAATGGGATCTTCTTTGGTGGATGTTTTTAGAATGGTAAGACCTCAATGCTTTCAAAAAGTTCTCAAATTTTTAACAAAAGGTCTAACAAAAGGTCTAACGGTTTTCATTAATGACAATCAGGTTGCACTGATGCTTTCAGAAATGGGATCTTCTTTGGTGGATGTTTTTAGAATGGTAAGACCTCAATGCTTTCAAAAAGTTCTCAAATTTTTAACAAAAGGTCTAACAAAAGGTCTAACGGTTTTCATTAATGACAATCAGGTTGTCTGAATTTTATTATGGACAAAGTTGAGTGGTTGTGATTTGCAATTTTTGCTTTTGTAATGGAAGATGATTTTGTATGCAGATGGCTGTGACCACATACAACACATCCCTTCCTTATGCTGAAAGATATAGAAATGGTCACTACCTGAGTACCTAAATTTAGAATGTGAAATTTTGTATTTGAACTGGTCTGTCCAGGGCCTTTTAGATTGTTAAGTCTATTGTTTAATTTCAGGAAAAGTACAGGTTGCCTTGGTTTGGAATATTAGAAAAGAGAACTCCCCTTCCTCGAAAAAGTTAAATGCTTTGGCCAATGTGTGCCCATTCTCTCTCTCTCTCTCTCTCTGTTTGTATTTCGCAACGACTGCCATTTTATTGAACCATATGCACAGCAATGGATGAAATATGTAATCGGCATGGTACAAACAAACAACGGTCGATTACGTTACCATTAGAAGGAAAACACATCCAGTTGCCTCGCGTTGAACTTTCATCTTATACTTTCGAACACCTTTGACAAGGAATTGCAGTGTCAACTTTGCCCAATTATATGCCCGCATACCGGTCACGTCCTTCACGGCATGAACGAACGACAGGCTCAATGCGGTCATTGTGGTAGGACACAACATGGCCCCCAACACGTACAGCGCAAACTTCCGCCGAAACTCGTCATCCGCACCATCACTCTCAGTCAGATAAACTCTCAACTGGTTCAAAGGAATGATTCCCTTAACAGCTCCAACCTCTTCGTAGATATTGGGATATGCGTTTATTGAACCAGTGAACTGCACGTAATTGCCTTCTGACCGTATACCTAATAAGACATGCACTTCCTCACCGGTGAGCCTTAGGTGACGGCCATGAACAGTCAACAAACACGTGTCGGGATCGAAGTTCTGTACCAACCATTGGCACATGTTGTGATCTATACGGGTACACTTTAACCTGAGGAGTCCACCGAACCCAATATCAATGACTGCCTGCTTTTGTGCTTCGTTACACCGGTTCACGATATCAACAATTGCCTTCAATGATATGCGGACTTGCATTTTACTTTGCAATGTTATTAACGTGAACATTAATACAAAAAATTAACCAACATTGTGTCGATAGCAGGTCCTCCCCAAACGCAGTTACGAAAACACAAAGCACGTAAGTACCTTTGCAGATTTCTTTGCAACTTCTTCGCCCAGTTCCTTGGCACTTGCCTTAGCCATGTCCTGAAATCTCTTCTTCTCATCACAGGGGAGTTCCTTCCACCTTTCCCCAATATCCTTTCGGCTCTATAAGTGTTGCACCAACGTGACGCACATACATGACAAATAGGAGCTGTAAGTCCAAAATAATTGTCACCAAAAGTTGTATCACTCGCAATGTGTGCACATTTTCTGGTATTTACATATGTTTGCACATACAAATTACTATTTCGCACACAGTTGAAATAAAAACGGACATGGAATTTTACAAATAATCGGAGTTTATAAGAACATGCAATATGGCGTCTATGACTGCTGGAAATCGCTGAATGCGACACAATAGAAGCACATGACTGGTGTGCGCATGGAATAGAAGTCCATACTTTGCTATCACAACAGTCACGTGTTTCCATCACGGTACTCTACTTACTACATGTCTGCACACTAACCATATTCGGTCCGGGGTTGTCTGCTTCTCGTCTTTCCTTGAATTGTTGCTGGCTGCAACCATTGTCAATTTCGGCGTAAGTATATGTTAGATATGGATGGATATATATACATATATGTACACAATTTGTGACACAAACAAATTTGGTCCCAACTACATAATAACGCATCCGTAATGTCCAATTTTGGTTGCTAAAAATATAATAACCACATCATTTCTGCAACAACAATTATAAATGGTCCAAATTATTTTGGCCGTTACTTTTGGTCTCTAAAATCTTAATTTCTTGTGAGTACAATCTGAAATCTGCACAGGCGCAAGCTATGAGTTTAAAATATGTAATGCAGAATTGTGCAAAAATACTGTCACACGTTTCTGACAAGAGGGATTCGTACTGTGAGCCGCTTTGAAGGACACGGATCGAACCTGTAAAAAATAAATGGCCCAAGTGGCCTCTTTCGACGAGGGGGCTCGGTAATGTCAACCCTTTTCATTCGTGAACCTTTGCCACTTGCCTTCAATGTTTTCCTTTGCCTGTAACAAATATCAGCGTAAATGAAATTTTGTTCAAGGCCAAATTACATCGGTGGTATGTACGTTTTGTGCATTCTATCATCTTCATCAGTTAACTTTAAAGTTAGTCAATCTTGCCTTCCCATTTCAAAAGTTGTGCCATTTTCGTGAAATTGGTAACGTCGTTTTCCGTTGTCACCGAAAATTATGAACTGAAGTGGTTTAGTATAACTCAGTGAATTATCGATTTCACAAATTCTCTCCGCAGAATACGCGACATGTGCCGTATGTGCACATATTCTGGTAAGAAATCGACACAGTTTTAATCCATTACACGAAATTCATGGTGCAATTTGAGGCTATCGCAAATGTGTCAAACTCAAATCGCACAACCTCCTGATGGCAGTACATAACGGCACAATATGCCATACGCGAACAGACCGTGGTATTTAGTAGGTACAGGAAACATAACCTTGCAAACCTAACTATATCAAATACTGAACGACATAAACTCACAGTTGCTTCGCATTGTCTGACATGTCGCCCATATCCAATTACGATAATTCCAGCAAAGAATTTCATGCAATATTCATAAGGATGCAGAAAGAACGTTACTCCCAAATTGTAACAAAACGAAATTGACTGTTAACAACTTACAATCAACGGACCATTGAGTCGTACGTGCATTGTACGAGTGGTACTTTTCGTTTATTTTCAAGTACGATATGTTGTCATTAATTTATGCAGATATGGCATGCCACTGTTTTACGAAAATTAATTGGCCATATGTTGTACTCGTTTTATAGTATTTACGACTTCAAGCCCGAATCAACAACCAATGCGCACACTTGAAACAGGGCCACATCGGACATTCAACCCAACAGCACCCATACGCAACTTACCTTCATGCAGAGAAATAAAAACCCGACTACACTGCTCAACGAAGACCGTTTGTCACTTCGGAACTCCTCAATGGCAATATCAGTTTGTCACCCGTGTAGTTTGTATACCTAATCGTACGTATGGTTTCAATTACCTAAGGAGGAACAGTTTCATAGTTCATAAATGGTAATGTCGTGCGAGTGGAACACAGTAGGTCATAATAATAATGTGCTCCGAAATAAAAAATAGACAGACTCACACATGCCCGAGAAAATGGTGACTATTACCGTCGGTGACCTGGCGTAGTCGAAATGGAGAGACAGAGAGAGAGTGTGTTACTGGAGGTGGACAGCAAAACCGAAATGGAGAGAGAAGGAGGGACAACAAAGTTGCAGAAATTTGTATGTGGGAAATGGAAATGAGTTGGTGAGATTAGAAAGGCTAAGGCATGTGGGTCATCATGAAAAGTACTGCGTCTGTGGGATTTCAAAAGCACTGTCTGCCGACTTTGGTTTTTGTTCCAAATTTGGGAGGGAAACGGAAACGTACGTGACACTACAAATTAAGGCCAAGTTTGGCAAGTTGGGAAAAAAAACCAAAAAGTCAAAAAGTTATAACTATTCACAGGAAGTCAAAAATTACGCCTACACAACTCCGAATTCTAATTTTTCCTTACACATTAATTTATACAATTTTGTAATACACATTTTTTCATAAAAGTCAAAAAGTTAACCCAAACATCCATATTTTTTTCCTCATTTTTTTCATCCACAAAGACAAAATAATACACATTTTTTTATAAAAGTCAAAAAGTTAACCCAAACATCCATATTTTTTTTCTCATTTTTTTCATCCACAAAGACAAAAATTACACTTTTTTAGTCCAATTTTTTTCCTCACTTTTTAAATATAAATAAATGTACTTTTTCACTTTTTGTGAAATATGGATTCCGTTTGGGTTGGGGGTTGAAATGATGTGTGTGAGAGGTGATGTGACTTAAAATAATGTGATTCAGGTCAAAATAGTGACTTTTTGACTTTTGACTTTTTGTAAACATGCCAAACCAGCCCTAAAAGGTGGTTAGGAAGTTGCTATTTTTATGTTATTTTAGTATTTTCATATTTTTTAAATTTAATTTTTTGTGTTTTCAAAGTAATAGATTTTGTTGTACTTGGATATGATGTTTGTGACAGGAAATTTGCACTGATTATATGTTTGACGTGCCAATTTATGTTATTAATTATTTTTGCTGATTTTTTTAGTTTTTGTTTATTTTTCACAAACGAGGCGTAGCGTAAGGTAGGGTAATGCTAAGTTAAATTTTCGGGCTAGAAATTAAAATTAAAATTTCGTACAGGCCGATGAATAAAATTTCGTAAAGGGTAAAATTTCAAACCGACTGGTCAACGGACAATGTATCGCGCGACTAACAGGCTGGTGGATTACAAGAAACTTCGTTCGCCAAAAATTAACAGCTGACAGTAACAAATACAATAACACATCCATTGTGGATGTAACTAGAATATCAGCGCTAGAATTATAACAAAATACGTCTTCACAGTAATAAGTAGTCGACATATTAGCGATTGAATTATAACGAAACTGTTACATGCGATCCGAGTCGTAAGTTATTTTCGTTCAGGGCTGGACATATCGATCGCATAAGTACAAACAAACTGAGACAGCAAATTAATTACTAAGGAAGTACAGTAAGTACATTACACAGGATAACAGGGGCCAAACCAACAAATCTATATAACAAATCGAGGGTATCATAATCCCAACGTATTCTGAATACACAAATATTGGGCATTGCATTGGGTAGTGTTGTTCGGCCCGTGGGGGCAATCAGGGGACCCGTTTTGAGAATCTGAATCATTAAATGTGTACAGTTTGTCGCGTACTGCATACCTATGGAAAATCACGTTGATCGAATATTGAAAGCTATCTGATAGGAGTAGTTGTCTTTCAACTGTTAACTATAACACCATCCTTTATTTTTATACAAAAATGATTTGATCATATAATTACCGATATCCGATGACCATGATTTTTAATAGACATATACTACTCGACGAGTTGTACACATTGAATGGCCTAATTTGGAAATTTCTTGGCTATTTGCCTAAAATATGAGGTACAAAAAACTAGTGGGCTTGTTTGGTTTGTTTATGGAAAACATTTTGGGGAGACAGTTTATAATTTTTTTTGGTTTGTTTGGTTGTACATTTTCACTGACAACTTCTTGTTGGGAGTTTGGAATGATTTGATATTTTGGGAGAATTGAGTAGATGTGTGTGAGAGAACAAGTGATT